TCTTCAGGGAGGGAGAGGATAAATATCTAGAGGAAGTGCGAAGACTTCCTGGACTATTACAAACTGCATTTACTGATGAAAATTTTTGCTAATAAATAATGTAGCATTTATTGTTTCTCAACTTCTCCTCTATGTTTGCAGCTGGCACTATTAACTAAGGTAGTTTTGGCACTGAATCAACAGTGAGGTTTCAAGTATGAGCAGATTACCAGCTGCTGCTGGGGATTTTGTCACATTCTTCTGGATGCTGATTTCTTCCTTAGAGCAGCACAGCTTCATGAAAGAGTGTGTTGACTTGAAGTTCTTGTGCGTGTATCCATGAGATCATGATGACCTCAGCCATCATCAGCAAGTGAGGCTGTGATGTCTTGTAGTATCCTCTTCAGGTAAGTTAAGTAAGGTAAGCTAAGCATTCCCTTAAAGAATGATAAGTCCAGTTGAAATTGAGTGATTACTCTGCTTTTACACAGATATGAGAAAATTGTCTTTCTATCCTAGGACAGTTGAATGTGGTTTATTGGCACAATTCGTAAGCAAAATTAATTATTTGTGTTTAAGTGCTTGCAAGAAAGTGCTGGTGTTTCCAGTTAGCCAGTGCTAGCCACTGCTAGCTCTGAACATTTGTCTGCTGATCTCTCAGTGAATTGTTGCACACTATCTATCCATATCCTCCTTCTTCATTCCCTTTTGAGATGACCCACCATCATTCTTCCCATAATTAGTTTCTAAAGGTTATTTCCATCTCTCTGCTGATGTGAGTGAAGCATATAAGTTTGCAGCTGTTGATTTCTGACAATAGTGAAGCTTTTCCAGTAATATTTCTAACTTCAGCTTTCATCTTATTTTCCATGCAAGAGATATGCAAGGATCTTTGGAAGCATCATATCTCAAAGGATTCAGTTTTCTTCTTCTCAGTGGAATCAGCTTCCCACAGTTTCTGTCTAGAGTTTGCTGTGGAAGCGATGACATTTTTCACCAGTCAGGTTTTCAAACGATTCAAGATGTGGTTATTTCCAGATGGTCTTAAGGCAGGTGTAAAAATTGTTGAGACAGCTCCTGTAAATCCACATTACCTTGACTGAGCCAATTTTTTAATTTATGTGCAATAACCTCCTTCATTAGATCTGTATAATCCTATATAAGTGAATTCTGCTATTGAATATCAATTTGCCCTTAATTATAAAGTTTATGTGCTGGTTTTTAAGTCAGTGCTCTATGTGAATTCCATACTGTTTTTAATGACTTAATTTAATCTGATAGGGTTCAGCCATTTATGAGTGTAGAGATTGTGGGATAGTACATTATTTTACCCATGTTAAAATACTACCTAGGCAAGGAGACTGGAGGTAGTATCTAAGAACAGGAATGAAATGCTCTATTGGCTACTCCAGTTGTCAGAACTTGGGATGCTATGTCGTGGGTGAGGTGCGACAAGACTAAATAATGTATATTTGATCTATACCTTTCCAATATCCAAAAGACAAGAAAGAAGTATTCTTCTCCATTTCTAGATTTCTGTCTAGGAAAACTCTAATTTGATCACATCATATTGGATGATCTGATCTCACCTAGGATAATGGTTGCTGGAGTAAAAGACACTTGTCTACCCAGTTCCATGCAGACTTAAAATAGTTATCCTTATGGATTGCAAGAAGATATCTAGTCAACAAAGAAATTCTATTTTTGCAGCTGATGTGAGGGCACTTATTTAATTCCTGTGGCAGACAAATGGAATATACCATCTAGCTTTTAATATTTGGTGAATTCTGAACCATGCAATCCAAGTGGTACTGGAAATTCTACAGGTAATGTGGAGTTAAAGGATGTGACGCACCAATGTTTATGCTGTCAAAATCAATTCTCCATAGTGTAGAGCACCTTCACACTGATTAGCTCAAGTGTCAGTAAAGGGGACCAAATCTCTCTGACAGTGGGGTTTTTAACAAATTTTGCTGCAAGAAATAAGTTCAGCAGAAATTGTAAAAAATGGGATGCTGTTTGTACTCAGAGGAATCTATAAAATGAAGATTTTTGCTCTGTGTGTGGTTTTAGGTAAAGCTTTTTTTTTTTTTTTTTTTTTTTTTTTTTTTTTTTTTTTATGCTAGAATATTTAAAGTGTATTTTTAAATAGCGACTGACAATCTGTGAAACACCATTTTAGCATGAATGAGGTCATATACTACTAAAATACTACTTATACTGGGAAACTGAGATGAATTGAAAGTAGCACAGCTAAAAAAGGGAAGGCAACAGGTGTTTTATTAGATAGCAGATATTGACTTTTTTTACATCTGTAGAATAACTGATACTTCATCTTAAAAATTGTTACAAACTTGCATGTTTCTACTACTGAATATCAGTAAGTCTCAGTGTTTCTAATTTAGAGTATGTTCCTTTAAGGTGTTTTTGATGAAAAAAACATTATATCCTCTTCTAGCATATCAACAGTTTCATAATATGATACAGGATTGGAAGAATTTTGCTTGGGTACCAAGCATCTGATGACTATCAGTATGCTGGAAAGGAAACAGGGCAGGTTGCACAAAAAACCTGGAGTTATCAGTATTCTTTAAGTTTCACAGAGAGGACTGTAAGGTGTATGTGCAGCCTATTATAAAGAAGTATTTTTTGCGTTGCAATAAATGGAAGAGTAATTTTCTTAGATGCATAGATTTTAGTCACCTATTTAGTGGAGAAGGAAGTGGGTTTTATCTCTACCCAAAATTAACAATGCCTCTGACTATTAATTTGAGCATGTCATGGAAGTGAAGCACCTTGGACCTAAATTTCCATTGTTTAAAATTGAGATCTTCTCTAATTCATTGAAGTAATGTAGAGAACCTTTTAAAATGTGCTGTTTAAATCCATATTGTTGGGAGTTTTAGCGCTATAGCCCTAGTACAAAACAGATGATAAACCCGTTACAGTCAAACCATTCATCCTGATGCTTGAAATTTAATGTTCTGTATACAGAATGCTATCATATTCTTAAGTTTCGGAGATAAGCTACCTTCCACAAAGTAGTACTTTCAGGTAACTAATCATTGTGTAAAGTACAGAACTGATATTTAAATGCAAATCAGGGGTCTTTGGTTTGTGCATTTTTGGTATCTTAGAACATGATTTACAGCTTTCAGAAGCAGCATCCCCCTTAGGAGTGTGTATATTAAGGTGATTTCACTTTCTTGTGTAAAGTGTGTATAATAATACAGATTTAACTAGAAACACTGGGATTTAAAAAACATGGATACAATGGATACAAAACATAAAATGATTAATAACTCAATTTGAAAAAGCACATTCTATTTAAACTGAGTACCACTGAAGTGTCAGTCTGGAAATGTGGAGTGTCTGAGCCATCTGGAAAAACCATCCCTGGGCTATTCAGACATCATTTCTGTCCAAGACCCTTGCTGTCATGGCTACTGAAGATTTCACATGTCTTAAGATTTTACGTAGAGAGCCTTTTTTAAGCTTTACTGTAATAGCATGTAATGAAGGCATTCATACCATCTAAATACCATCTGTCCATACAAAGCAGAAGAGGATCTTACAATCTGGGGAAACCCTGACTCCATGGAAACTGAAGTAGAATATTTTTAGTGACTTCACTGGAGCCAGGATTTTCTATATCTTCAAACAAATACTTTCACAGTAATTGGACTTGGAGATCAACATCAAGTGCTGATGGTATTGAGCTGGAGAATGTTATTTGCAATAATGGTTGTGATCAGAGACAAAAGTCTCTCCCTTCCCTTCCAAAGGAGACATAGAGGGAGGAACCTTCCTTCTTTTCAGAACCACATCAAGAGAAAAGAAAATGGTCAGCGTAATCAGAAGCACAGTCCCACTTTTCACTAACTCTTTGGGCCAGAGCCCGTAGTCTGCTTTGAAATCACACTGCAGTTAAAAAGACATCCTCATCAGATACCTAACTAATGGTGTAGCTGTCTGATACCCTCCCAGGTCATTGCTGGGGAAAGGCAGTGTGGGTAGAATATCTTTGCAGTTTAGTCATTTCAAAGTATGAAAAAGGTCTTTTGAGGCCACAAGGGCAACTGCTGGCTTCCTGAGATTTGCACTGATTAAATCAATCCTGGGCTAGGGCCAGAAGGTGAGAGGGTGAGAAAGGATGAAAATTTGACTTCAGACCATCATGTCTCTATTTGACCTGCAACTCTCTCTGTCTCAGCTGAGCCAAGAGAATCTAGCAATGTGCCTATACAGGAGATCTGGGTTAGATAAACCTTTTCTATTTTGAATTTCAAAATAAAAAATATACCTTCAAAATACATTTTGAAATATGAAAGAAGAACCCTTTTTTTCAAGCACAGAGCAATAAAGATATTCTGTATAATCATTCCGTAATTGTTCTCCATTTCTGTTTGTTCTAATGACTGTGATAGCAAAGAAGTCATGTAGGCAATACATGTGCATGACACAGCTACAGAAAATAGAAGTTTAAGCTGAAGAGATTAATCTCTCTTGTGATACTTCAAGATTTATCTATTAACTGCTTGCCTGTGGTTTCAAAACTGACAAAAGCTATCTGAGATCTCACTAGGAAATTCTCTGAGTTCAGTCAAATATCTGATTTAGTCAGCTTCAGCTATCACTGCCATCACCAGCTCATCTATAAATACATCTGCTTTCACAGTGTATGCATTCTGAAATTTGCCTGTTGCCTCCTCAGAAGTGCAGGACTATTGTCTGCTATTAGACAAGCCCAGCTTGACCAAAGCCAACATGAACCTAGCCTAACACGCCAAGCCCATCCCTTGTTGTTAGCTTTGATAGTCGCTGCTATCATTTGATAGTTCGCTTGTAGCCAGTCCAAGTTGGCAGTGTAAGCCCAAGCTGATTGGAGCTGCAGACATTTTTGCTGACTGGAGTCATGCTATCTTTGCCAGTTTGCTGGAATAGACACAGACACTGATTGGGTCATGCTGAAAACATTCCTGTCCTATGAAGCAAGTCTGTTTGTATTTTAGGTTTGCCAGGACTAATGAATTAAAAATCTTGGGCTCGCCACAGTTTGCTGCTTAATAATGCCTGTGACAGAAGGATTTTTTCCTCCCTGAAGCATGACAGCATCATAATCCCTCGTCACTGGCAAGGAGAGGAAGGAAAGGAGGAATTGTGGAGAAAAGCAGAAAAGGGTGATCTTTTGGGACAGCAAAGCCTATGGGAAGTGCAGGTAGCAGCATGTTGTCCTGACAGCTGTCTCAGCTTCTCAGACTGTGTCAGTTTGTTGCTATGCAGCAGGTGCAGCCTTTTCTTTTATTGAAGCTTTACTCCATAAAGGCAACGACAAGCCAAGGCAGTGGCTGGCCCTGGATTATACAAGTGCAGACACTCCGCTAAGTGAGGTAAGGCAACAGGTGTGAAAACTGAACTAAATTGATAGAGCTATAACAGCACTTAATCTGAGTTCTGCTGCAGATTTTTTTATGGAGAAACAGCAGCCAGTTCTATAGGCAATAGTCATGAAGAAGGGAGCTGCTCATTAAATCTCATTAAATTCCACGTTGCCCACTCACCCTCATCTCTGTCTACAGAGATACTGTTCTTCATACATGGAGAAAGCAGGTGGGGAATCGGGGGCAGTTGGTCTGCATGTTTCCTATATCACCTCGTTTGCACACAGGCTGCTTCCATCCCTCTCTGTTCCCTTTGATTGCTTTTTGTGATGAAGAGCTTGAAGATTCCGCACAAAAAGGGAGTGAGGACATAAATGCAAGATAAAAAAAAAAAATTGGATAGCAGGATAATTGTTGGGTATGAAGATGAGCTTTTTTTTTTGTGGATTGGAATAAAATGAAAACACTCTTCTGTGTTATGCTAGAATTCACCATTGTTTATTGAAGGGGTATTGATCTTTGCCCTTACATAGTAGGTGGTTAAAAGAGGTAATTTAAAGACGTCGCAGACCACAGAGTACATGACTGGAATAAAACAACAGATTTACTCCTAGCAATATTGTTATAGCAACTTTAAAACCTCTAGCAGAATGCTTAATTTTAGTTTCTTGGGCTATTATACAAAATGTTAAGTATTCTCTTATGTGGAAGACCACTTGAGGTAGTAAGCAGGTGTCAGGGGAATGTGTACCACCAACAGGCAGTGATGAACAGCCTTGTTTCAAGGATGTGTTTATCACTAAAAATCTCTTTTTTTTTTTCCTGTACCTTATATTGGGAGGTATGAAAGGGAAATATGATAAAAAGTTTTGGATTAGTAGTTTTGTTATTTTTTAAAAAACAATGAGATGTCTCACATGTTTCTTATACAATGAGGGTCTGGGGAAAAAAAGAGATCAATGGTGCTCAGAAGATAAAATTAATTTAGTCTAGTGCAATGCATGTCAAAACAGAATATTTCAGTTGACTCCAGGGATCTTTTCCTGAGTCCAAAAAACATACACTGTGGTAGTTTAGTTGACTTTTCTTTGTCTCTGCCCAATAGGTATCACTTCATTTTTTGTTTGTCTTGTTTACTAGTAATGGGGAAGAAGGAATGATCCCTGATATTCTTCATGTATTAGTAGAAAAAGGCACTCTCAGCTCCATGTGAGATTTATTCAAAGTAATGATTTCAGAATATTTGTTGTTATTTTAAGAAAAGGTTATGCTCTTCAAATAGTAGTTTCTTGTGTAGCATAACTACAGAGTAAGCATATCACTCTGCTAGCTAAATATTAAGACAGACAAAGCAAATAAAAAAGAAATGCTAAAATTAATGTACCAAATGCAAATTTTATACTCTTCCACTGATTGCAAGGCAGTAGTGTCAGGGAAGTGTTTGTTTCGGTTGTACATCACCAATGAAGATTGTAATCCTGAAACATTGTTCTGTTCTATTGACTTTCTGAGACTGCCAAATAATTAAGTGTAAATTAGAATAAGTTGCTGGATTTCCATGCAATACAACAGCTACTTTACTAAAAAACTGCAAGGCTATTGGCTTAGGAAATTGACTTTTGTTTTCTCTAGCTAAATGCTGTGTTGTCTACTCACATGTGGTACAACTTTCAGAAAATTCGTTGTATTTTCCCAAATAATTTGGTTTCTAATTGACTGAGGAGTTTTTATGGTAATTGAAAAGCTCCTCTCATAGTTGTCCACGTACTTGGTATGGATGCAATGCACTCTGGATAGCATAGTCTTCAGTTCTAAAATAATTTCTTTATGGGCAGATCTTTTACGTGCATGAAGTCCCACTGACTTCATGTTCTCCACACATGGAGCTAATCAGAAGATTAATATCTGTGAATTTTATCAGACTGGTGTTAGGTATACAAGGAGGTTAAGTTTGCATTCAGCTGTTTAATAGAGTTTAAAAAACCCTCTTCATTCAGAATGTTAAATATACATTGTAGAGCTCCTAGTACAACTTTTGAATGTTCAGAGATGCTTTAATTATACCATTACAGATCAGTAGTAGCTGGTTCTTTTATTGCTCTACAATTCTTTAGTGCTCTGCTTGAAATGAACCAGCAGTTTTCTTAATGGACAGGGTTTCATCTCAGTAAACCACATTTTGGAGTTGGTGGTCTCAGAAGAAAGTCCAAGGATCGAATAAGGTCCCGATCTGGGAGTCAAACCCATGCAGACAGACCCCTACACCTGCACGGAGTTCTACTGAAGAATCACCACCAAGGTTTGGAGATCCAGTAACTTACTGACCATTGAGTGTGTGACTATCAGGCACAGTTTGACTGGGGGAGTATGGGTGGAAGGTAGGAGGATGCCTCCTCATTGACACCCTGTGGAGTGGTGTGCACATTTCCAATCACATGGCAGGCTTGGGGTCATGTTACTCTCATCTCCCCACCCCTTCTTCCTTCTTCACCTTCAGAACCAGGCAGCATTGCCACGAGTCAAGGCTTGCTGAAGGGGCAATGGCGGGGAGCAAGCAGGTGAGGAGAGGGGAAGCTTCCTTTGCCATCATTCTTTGTAATCTGTAAATAGCAAAAGAAAGGCAGTCTCTATGCTGAATTTCACTTAAATCCTTTTTAAATGGGAAAGTGAAATGGCGCTCCCTTGACTTTGATTCTAAACGTTGCTTAGCTAGAATGAGAAAGGTAGCTGTGAATGCATGAAAAGCATTAAAACTCATTTGTTGAATGGTGTCACATGCTCTGTAATAAATATATTGTTTGTACTGTTGCAGCTGGAACAAACAAGTAAAAGCATTGACTCAAGTGCCCACATGATCACCACCGCCAGGGTACCTGCTGATAAACCAGTACGAATTGCCTTCAGCCTGAATGACTCCCCAGGTACAGTTTAATTTATGGAGTAAACCACAATTAAATTATTGCTTTTAAATTTTACATGTTCTTGCCAGTGTTTACAATATCAAATGAAGTCCAATGTTATGGGTGGGTTTTTTTCCTGAGTGATAGCATGTGATCAGTTTTCCTGTCTGATAACTTTTAATGTTTCCATTAACAATTTCATTAGACTAAAACCACTAGACTGACAGTTTAGATATTAGCTTTGTTTCAGTGGTTTCTGGAATATACTTAGGACTGTAATTAACTATTGCATTTACCTGCATATGCAGTATGTCTGATTTTAAGGAATTTTAAAACGAGAAAAGTAAAAGGACATTTTGTACTGAGGATGAGGCTAGAGCAGGAAGAGACTTTTCCTTCAGCAGTAAAGTTGGAAAGTGCTGCACGTGTCCAGATTGGTGACAGGTTTCAGGAAACAGATGCCACACATGACATATTCCCTGAGAAAGCAGCAGAAATTTCACTGACATTTATCCTGTCAGCTAGTGCTGAATAAGCCTTAATTTCCCCAAACATACTCTGTATATGCATGGACACTTCGGCCTTTGGCGTACACTAATATTATTAGTTTGCACCTTAAATATTATTAAGGTCTAGAGAGCTGTTGCCAAACAGTAAAAGTCAGAACGAAATAAAGTAAATCGGAATCTGGGAAGCATCCCAAAAAAAGTTGGCTGTGCTGCTGCTAAAGGTGAGTGTCTGAAGTCAGGGTTGAGATGTGTTTATGGCATGAAATATAAGGACCTCTGATAACGACAACTGAAACCCACTGCTGATGAGTGCTTTATGGGAAGGTATGCATTGTAGGATAACGTGCGAGGCCACTTCCTGAGCTTTGTATGAATAGACTCTCAGCTTGAATATAATTTTCTCATTTTAAAAGTGTTTTAGATTATGCATTAGCTTTCCTAGCTAATTGTTGTATAATAATTAATTTGCAGCTACAAGCCTGAAACAGAATCTCATTCACTAAGCAAGGGAATTTCTAAACAAACTTCTTCATATATTATTGCACATAATTTTCAGCTCATAAAGATGAGTGACACAGAAAGATTGGAACAAGGGATATAAAGAACATGTGGTTAGCTATGTGCCCTTTTTTCATAAATTAAAATAATCTGGTAATTACATTTTTATTACAGAAAGTAATAAGGACTCGTTCTCATCTCTCATGAGATAGTAACATGGTAAAATTCTTACAGGAATTATGGCAAAGATAGGTCTTGAAGAGAGATGTAAAAGAAAGAGGAGCGCTCTCACAAATAATGGAAAAAGAACGTGTATATGAGACACTGAAAACAAGTCAGGGAAAGCTGAGACCATGGGAAAATCAAAGAGGGTAGAGTGGTTTGTGACAAGAGACGGCAGTAGGAAATGACAAGGTTGTGAATAGCTTGGGAGAAGAGGACATGAAAGGCAGGAAGCCTAGCTTCCTTAACATTGCATCATGTTTTATTTTTTACTTCTCTATCCTGCTAGAAATCCCAACCTCTCTCTTAACGTTTAGAGGAATAAACTCAGTTACAGAAAGGTAATCTTTTTCTGCTACATCTTGTTAAACTTCTCCATAATTTTGAGTCCTTGTTTATATTTTGAGTCCTTGTATATATGCAAGTGTTTCTGCAGTATGCAATCCAGAATCTTTGTGAGTACTAAGAAAACTAAATAGCAACCAATAAAGTGACTGTCATGTTCTCCTCTGCATCACATCCCCTTGGGGGCTACCAGGAGGTCTAAACCAGCATACTGTTCTACCACATCACAAGAGTTCTGCTCTTGCTCTTAGTGGTAAGCCTGATCATGTCTATTATATGTGATATATTTAAAGAAGGCAAAGGAAATAAACCTGTATCAGTTTTGAAAATTCACGGCAAACCATAGTTCAATCTGGAGAGTACAAATAAGTATTTAACACTTTTTTTTTTTCCTTTTTTTAAAGATGACACTGAAAAACATTTAACAGATAGACCTTTAGGTATTCCATACTTGGTTACTTTTTTTTTTTCCTCCTTACTTTTTTGTATTTTTTAAATCTTTTTTTCTCCTTGAGAAAGATCATTTGTTTTCAGTTCAAACAGGAGTTACCTGCTGTAAGTGTGATAGTAAAGCATCAGGTGAGGCTCATGTACTCCTAGGGTATATGCAAAAAGTTCTTCACCATGGCTAAGTGATAAGGCAATCTGTCTGACTTCAGCTTTTCCTTAAATTTTACCTCACTTGAAAGTCACAGTAGTGACAGATTTCACCAAGAAAGTCTTCATTCTCCTTCCGGGAGCTGTATAACTGCTTACTAGGAGGAACTAGCTGCACAACTAGATATAAAAAGGGGAAATGGAATGTTTCTTCTGAGTGGTGATTATCTCACTGGCTAGGATTGTAACCAAGCACTGGGTGTGAGGACCAGTGAAAGGAGAAACTGCTCGCAACTCCTGAGAAGAGATTATTTTGTGTTAACTGACCTACAAAACTGAAGCTAGCTTAACCTGAGTGTAGAAGAAATAATTTAATTGCATTATAAGTTAAGACCTGATGACTGAAATCCTGGCCAGCTTTGTGCAGTATTTTTGATGTGAAAGTAGGCTGACCAGTTCCTTAAAAGTCTCAGGAGCAGCCCATCAGCAGGTGCTATATAAGAAGACAGTTTTATTGTGTATCTCTTATTCCTGTATATATAGATATCTATGTTTGGCTCTTTTACTCAAGTTCACTAAGCTGGCATCAAACATAGGTTTCCCAGTGTGTGTCTGCACACCGTATTGCACCAGTTTGACTTAAGGTACTGTTTCAAATTACTGAATTTGAACACATTATTTCAGCCTCTTTTATATCACTTGGAAACTAATGGAAGTTAAACTGAATACGGTGTTCCAAAATGTAAATAAGTGTTCCCAAACAGAAAACTCATTGTAGTTTATCAACATGAATTTAATTAAACCAATTAAATTCAACATGTCCTAACTTATATCTCTAACCCTTATTTACTGAGCATATTAAAATACAATAATTATAACATGAACTTTATTAAATTTAGAAAAGTGGATTTGTTTGGTCTAATAGGTCTAAGGGAAGGTTTATATGTAAATATCTCTTCACCTTCCCTCATAGAATAAAAGCTTGAATCTAACTGAAAAGTTCTGCTAGTAACATGTGGTGATAAATGACTGGCTTTGAACTTATTAGTAATATCTTTTATTTGAAATTAGTCTACCTGTGATAGCAGTCTCCAAAAAAATCACTGGTAACAGATGCAAAACATACGTCTTCTAATGAAACTAACAGTGGAAGAGTGTCATATTTTTGCAAGCATAGCAAATTACTTATTTTACTCTTCTTTATGCCTTTGTTATCCTAGTGACTGTGAAGATTTTTTTGCTTTTGTAGTTGATCATTCAAGACTGTTTTGCCATGGTTACTTCTTCAATAGCAACCTTCAAATCCCTACTCCATCCTCATTTTGGTTGTAATAGCAACAGAGGCTTTCCAGCAGATAATGTATTGGCTGAAAACCAGTGGGGATTGCTAAAACATATGGCTAAAAGTTGCAAAGCTAGTTCCCTAAATCTACACCCAATCTACAAATAAGTGGCTTGATCTTCGGGAAATTAGACAGGAACTTAGGTGAGATACCCTCAAAGGGATAATGGCACAAGAGGATGCTTTAGACTTAGGAGACAGTATATGGAATAGGAGGGTTTTGCTCTTATCTCTTCTGTTATGGGCTGTTTCTATTTTTGGGAGGTCCACAACTCTTATTATTGAGCAAGGCTTCATAGCCTATTCCTGGGTCAGGCAGTGACCATTCCCCGCTATTTCACAAGTGAGGTAACTGCGAGGTTGCGTAAGGTCATGTCAGGCAGGGCTGTGAATAGAAGCCCGGGAGCTTCATGCAGCAGTGCCAAGTCGCAGTCACTTAGCCACACAGCCTTCCAAGATGAATTCGATGAGTCTATGCTTGTCTGCCAGTAACCAGGGCTGGAGCTGCTGGATCTCGCTGCCCTCCTAGGGCCAAAACTGGACCCTGATACACAGATTGCCAGTGTTGTACCACTGCGAGTTGCAGTGCTTGCAGTTGAGTTGCACTTTCCATGTGTAGGAGCTGATCCACTTACAGGATAACGGCCTACCTATGTTATCAATTTAATTCTTTAATTTAGGAGGAAGAGATCTGAATACACTTGCCCACGCATGTAGGAGAAAAAAATAGTACCTGACTGTATAATTAAAGACTGGATCATAACTTAGTTACTCAAGGAAGCAGAACTGTGATTGACATTTCCTAAATTTGAATGCTTGATTTAGCAACCTTAATGTGCTTTCAACACATTTAAATATTTGTATTCTATTTCTGTCTATCTTTTTAAAATCCTAGAGTAACTCTAATTTGTGAGGTTATACTGCAGGTAAATCAGAGGTTGTTCCTAAAGTGCTTATTCATTAACTATTGCCCATAGCCCACAGTTCAGCTAAAGGGAGCAGCCATATAGGAAGAGACTGACTGGGGTGTTACACTTCATTGTACCGGACACTCTGTCACTCAGACAGCAAAGCGTGAGGGATTTCACTTGTTTGTCTACATGATGGAAGTCTGGGCTATTGGAATCATCAGAAGGCAAAACCATGATTAAATAAGTGAATCTTTCCAGAAAACATGATCCATTCTGAAATGTGCAACATTAACATATATCAGGGGACTGGATGCATCAGGACACACAGCTAAGTAGTAAGCCTTTTGTATGAAGGCAATCAGTCTTAATATAGTTCAACCTTCTAAATCAGATGGCTTGAATGGATCTCTGTACCACACATTAGAAGCCCATCTCACGTTTTTATTAATAGGTGCTACCAGTAGAGAGACAAGAGCTCACCTGGACAGGGAAGGTTGAGCAGCATAGGTGTCCTTATACACTTGCTGTCCTTATACGCTTGCTGTCCTTACACAAAGCTGCCCATCACGCTCTTTCAACATGAAGGAGTGTTGACTGGTCAGCATGTTTAAGGAGCTTGTTCTTTTGTTATGTTGTTAGTTTTGTTGTAGGAATGTTCAGAATCTGGCTCTGACATAGAAGGGCACTTTGTCTCAGTCCAACTAGAGGAAAGCAAAAGGAGGAAGTGATTTCCCTGGAGACCCTCCTTCAGATGCTATTATAATTATCTCTGGTATAATGAGAGTTTTCAGCAACAAGCAAAGAGAATGTATAAACCTGATGAAACAAACATGAAAGTCAAACTATTCCAAACACATGAACCAAGGATTTGGTTAAAAAAACCATCAACTCTATGTGCAGTGTTCATCTTGTAATCAGGATACAGGTCTTTACCTTCAGTGCACTTTTAAATATAGACCTTCAAAATTAGTTTTGGGATCTGTGGGAAATCAGGAAGTACTCCTTGATTAGAAACTGTGCAACAGATACTTTAATTTAGGTGGCTATCATGCAGTCCCTGATCTGACTCTCACATCACAGGCTAGTGCTGTTGTGTTTGCTGGGGTGACCATAACATTCATGTGTATGTTTTTCCTCCTTGTCTTCTTCTGACCCGAATCTTGACTCATTTTCAGGTGCAGCAAGTTGCGGTCTCTAATTTTTTAAATTTATTTTTATTTTTAAACAAAACATGTTTTCAATAAGCAGCTTGAATTGTAAATCCTTTTTTTCTTATGAGTGACAGGGAAGGGAGCAGTAAAATAGTGGCCACAGGGGTGAAGTGCTGTTTGCATCTGGTGAAGAATCAGCCTAGTTATTTTCAGGGTTTTGTGGTACAGAAAAGCCACTAACTTTATTATAAATAGAGTCTTTGACTATATCAGTGAATCCTTATAACAGTCTAAGTACTCATTAAATATTGTTAATACATTGAGAAAAGGAGAAAAAGAGATATTTTTGATTTCTATGGTCTGTTCAAGGAGGTGTAGAATAGAAAAGAACAAATACAGACAGATAAGGAGATAGTTACGAGAGTGTTTTTATTTTCAGAATATTTTATTTGACATTTTAGACATTTTCAGTGTTTCTGATTTTCAGAGTTGTAGATTTTTAAGGTCAGAAGCCAATGTGATTTTGTCTGATCTCCTGTGTAACACCCAGAATTCAAGCTTGTAAGTGCAATAGTGATTCTTTTGGAAGAAAATGCAAGAGTTTGTATCTTTCCTCCTGTCTTCATGAAAACATCCACAGAAAAGTTTTAGGAAGTGAATGACTGCTGTCATTCGCTTTCCCCTTGTGTGAAATCTAAAAGCATTTAGTTTTTACTGAGTGAGTTTTGTTGTTATTGTTGTCATTGTAACTTTGACAACAGTGAAACACAGACTGACCTGATGCAGTAACTTATTTCACTGGAAGCTATGGGGAAATTTTTTTGTTGTTCTTTTTGTGGAAAACAAGATTTCAGTATGGATTTCTGTATGGATTATTGTTAATTTTTGTAAACTAAATACTTCAGCTGAAAATTTCAGAGGAGCCTAAGAGAAATAGGTACTCAGGAAAATTTGAAACCACTGAAGTTCCCAACTTTGCTCAATGATGTTCTGTACCTCAGATGATGATTTAAACAAGTCTTAAACTAGCATAACTAAAAAAAACCCCTAGCAGCTGTTCAATAGATGCTAGGGCAGGCCCATTATAAAATGTACTACGGTATGCCATAATGGTTAGGATACCAATATGTTCTATTTTTAGTACCATTGACTCAGTCACTTGAGTTCAAAAAATAAGCAGGGAACATCTGTTTATTGAAAGGATTTCCTCTATAGTAATTTTTCTCTCTATCTCATCCTTTTTAAAGTATTTCCAAAGTGGTTTTTTACTGGTTCTTTCCTCAAGAGGACCCAATATATTTTCTAATATCCTGACACTGCATTAATTTTGTTTTCTTATTAATATCTGATGCAGTGAAAAAGTAATTATCGACTGATGCTTCTTTAAAATTCTTCGGGTTGCTTTTGCCTTGTTTTTCTTAAGTTAAAAAAGTTTGAGGTCCCTCCTTAAACCTACTGTACCGAAGACTGTAGTGCTGGAATTGTCAAAACAAATAGCAGCTTAACTGCTGTCCACGACTCTGGTCCAATATCTCTGTCAGAATTTTTAACAGCTATTCAGCCAAATATTTGTGGAGCAGCTGTACCCCTAGTCAGCGTGAGTCCTATTCCATCCTTCCTTTTAGCCTTGTCATATGATTCATCTCTCTTCTTTTAGAATATTAGTCTATTTTTAAATATTGTAGAAGAAAGCAACAGCAAAATAAAGGTAAACACTTGCATATCAGCATAATATGATTCTATACCATTAAAGCAATTTAAGTATTTTCCAGAATGGACATGTGTGGGACTTGGTGTGAAAAATCAAGTTCAGGGGGTGGGCAGATATGACTTTTTGATAATACTAGCAGGACCCCCACACCATGAAAAACAAAACTTCACTTTGTTTCCCAAGGAAGTCCAAAAGCTTTTGATTTTGCACTCTGTATCACTGTCTTCTATTTTTTTGTTCTCTGGACATCCCAGCTCTAGCTATGTTAGTTAAAGTAAGGCTCTGACCATATGTTAGCAACTATATTTATTCTTCATAGGTTAAGGTGACTTATTTTATTTTTTCCCCTTAACCTACTTTGCTGTATGACCACTGAGGGCAGGATAAAGGGAGAACACATATTTGACAAATAGTTTAAATCCTAGTCTGTACTCTTTAAGAATATTCAGAATCTTGCTTAGATACATGGTCCTCTTAATCTTGATGGGATTTTCTTGTAGTGTACATGTCTGCCAGCATAGAGCAGGTTTCAAGATCTGACCTATGTTAGCAATTTTCTCCTATGAGAGCCATCCTTGTTTAATTCTGACACATTACAAATAACCAACTCTGTAAGCTAGCTAGTAGTAACCTTCTCTTCACCTCCCATAACCTGTAGTAAGATGTATAAACAGTCATCACAATCCAATGCAAAACTGATAGTGTGAAAGTCACTGGGAAAGAAATATTGCAGTTGCTAGCTGTGACGCTACCAAGTATGATTCATATTTCTGATCTCAGTCCAGCTACTAGTGGGCAGGTGTCCACATCACAACACTGACGTAACTGGCACAGTCTGTCCCACCTTTGCTGGAAGCCTGTACTAAAAATAAAGAAATAAATAAAAACATGTTTGGCTTGTTGTCATGAATGAACTAACTATAGCCCATAAGGGCTGTTATCTATAGGTTAGAGCAAAGACACCTCTTTGCAGTATGGGGAAATTTGTGGTGCCTTCTCCATTATAATCACATTATGTAGGTAACAGTCTTCTAGTTCCAGGGCTGCCAGGCTGGTTTGTGTGTTCTTGCGGTTGCCTTTGGGTGGTGGGTGAAAAGGTTTTTATTATTGTTGGTTTAGACCTGTTAAGTCATTGTATTTTGATGGGTTCAAGTAATAAACTCTTTGGTAGTAAGGATGCTGTCCTTGGAAGGTTATTTATTTTGAAGTGTAATGGAGAGCTCAGGAAGAAAGATTGTTTGGATTTATTGTTTTTATTAAATTATCACATGTTCTGCTGTGCTAACTGGCTTTGTTTTGTTTCTTAATCACTGTAATACAAAATAGGCTTTCTGTCTTTCCAGCACATAAACATTTTCTTATTGTCAGCCTACTAGTATTTACATATTATTAAGGTACCTCAAGTGTAGAAAGATAAGAAAGATAAGCAGATGAGGAGGTGTTTGCAGGATTCTGATATTATTGTAAATATATGCAACGTAGAGCTACATTAAACAGAACAGATCATTTGAAATGCCCTTTTTGGTAGACATTGACTCTTAACATCATGTTTACCTTTTAGATGATGCTTCCTCTGAAAACTTCCCTTTGGCATTTCCAGAACTAGATCAGCAGCTGCAGGTAATTTTTTTTTTTTTACTAAAGTTCTACTTCACATTCACTATATTTGTTATGATAAAAATCCTGTTCGTTACACTGAAGTGAATGTTTTCAGTGGTGCTTCTCTAAACCATTAACATTTAATTTTAATAAGACTGTATATGTCAATAGAAGAAAACATCGCCTTTTCAAGATGTACAGAAAAATTGATTTGATATTTTTTATCCAGTTGCAGGGAAATCACAATTTTAACAATCTTATCTGCTTTTTAAATATTTTCACAATTCCAGTGCACAACACAGCACATACTGCTACACTGCAATGAAGAGAGTTCTTGTGGTTTTGATGGGAGAAGGAATGAGCCAGGTATTATATTCTCATACCTACAGGCTGTGCTAAGACCAGTATGACCAGCTTTCCCTGAAAAACTCAACGAGAATGCAAAGGTGTATTTTGTAGCACCATTTTATCTCTAATCTTGGATAACTAAAGCCAGTTATCGCAACTGATGAGAGCTTCCTCAGAGTTACTCTAGTTCATGCTGCATAGCCAGCAACCTTGGCAGGTTTCTGCAGACAGTGCGGGATAAAAGTGGTGAATCCCTTTGTGACAAGTCCGATTTGTCAGCATAGCACAATGGAGCACCAATATACTGGACAATCAGATGGCAGTTGATGGCAACTCCATGGTTCAGCAGGCACAGAGCCAGTTCTCTATCCAGGGATTATTTCCCTTTCCTCTGTGGCGGTTCTGGAGTGTTTGTTGGCTTTTGTAAACTACTTCAGATCATCTGTTTCCCAGGAGCATTTAGACTTCCTCTGATATTTCAATATGAAGGCAGTTGTTTCCTGAGTGTAAATTGAGAAAGGCATTAGCAGACCGTGTTGTCCAATGATGTCATCCTTCCTGTCCCCATCAGCTAGTGAGACAACACTGGAGGGCTGCTGACTGAAAGGACTGACTTTTCTCTCCTGCTGCTCTCATCAAAATGATGACTGATGAAGGAATGGAGGATGACAGAGGCTCTTCTTGCTCTGTCCCTCTAATCCTGAGAATAGGGCCAAGTTCCTTAGGTGTAACTAGGAAATATTAAAGGAATGAATAGCAACCTAAGATTTGGGCTGAAAGGAACAGGGTAGTATGTTGGCCTCTTTATTCCGCTGGTCTTCCAGTGCAGCAAAGATGATTGATATTTTTTTCCCTTAGAAGAATTCAGTTTGAGAAAAGCAATATTATTTCATGGCTGAAGCACTGAATTGAAAGTAAAGAAGTTGCGTTCTGTTTCCAACTCTGTCAATGGCACATTGTGTGATCCTGGAGGACCTGCCTCATCCCTCTGCTCATCTCTGAAATTAGACTAATAATTTTTACCTTTTCTGTTAAAGAGCATTGAGATCAGTGGGTGAAAACTGCTCTAAAAGAGTAAACTATGATTATCATTACTGCTGTTGGTACATAAAACCAAAATTACTAGCGTTAGGTGTAGGTACTTTATAGAACAAGTGATCATTTTTTTATTAGGACTTTTATGACCCATTTCTGGAACATATAGTGTACTCTAAATGTGTAATTTCATGATAGACTGAAATAGTTCCTCTGGAAGCATTCAAGTCTACTGGATAAATAATAGCCCATCAGTAAAAGTTTTTTAGGTATGCACTAGAGCAATTCCACTAAGTATACCCTCTCGGTTTGTTAAGTACCTGACATTTTTTTCAAGAGAACCTTCCTTTACTCTCACGATCTCAATATGATAACAAATTCAAAGAAACAATCAAAGGCTTTGATTCAGATAATGTTCTTTTTATTATACTTCAGAAACTCTTTTTTGTAATATTGAGATAGTTGAAGGGATAAATTACGAGGACTATCTGGCTGACTCGACCACTCAAATGTATGAAGTTAGTGGTAGTGCTTCATCCTTCAGCTTTTTAAGCTTATGTGCATATTTATATTTAGATGCCTCTGTGTTCAGCCAGAAGCAGTTAAGTCAACACAGGGTTCAGAGCTGATGTAGAGGTAACGGTGCATTTAGCTTTATCAATGAAAACTTGGTTTTTCTTGCTTTTGTCAATCTGGATCACAGCTTAAAGTTATAACTATTTGATGTAATTACATTATGTTTATACTACTTTAAATTTCAAACAAATAACTGTAACAAAGTTATAATTTACATTTTCTGATTAATTACTTTTTAAAATTGCTATAATCCAAACTACTTAAGGGTGTGTCAGCCCTATATATGATGTGGTTGCTATTTGCATTAACGTAGCCATACTGGCTTTGAACAGGTATTACAGAAGCAAACTACAACAGGGGCATTACCAGGATCTGCAGAAGTACTGAATGGTGATGTCCCTTGTCATTCCAGCCATGCTTTTCTCTATCCCAAAATTAGCTAGTATAAAGCAGCACACATGAAGTGACATGTAAACGAACCCTTTAATCAGCTGTGGCATAGCAGCCTGAAATGCTTGAATTTACAAGAATGCTAGTACATATATTCATAATAAAAATATCACTTCTAGAGCCACAAGATTTTCATCACCATGCCATAAATACAGTCAAAAGCATTTGTCTTTTATTTAAAGAAGCAAACTATAAATGAAGGGTAGGTGGCTATATAATAGGCACTTAAAAAAAAAAAAAAAAAAAAAAATCAAGCATACAAAGGAAAATTTTGAAACCTGTTTTAAAAACAAACAACAAAAAAGCCAAATTAGCCAATCTTCAAGTTGGATTTTGAAAGCAGCTCGAAAGATATGTAAGTTCGCTGAGTGACTTGGAAAATCAGAGCCTTAGAATTTTATGCATGCAGGCAGCAGACCACAGCCTGAGTACCAAGCAATTTGCACCTCTGTTTTAGGCTTCGAGCCCTTCTCCTTCTATGTTAGGCCCTGGCAGACAACTTGGCTGTTTGAGCAGAATTACCTAGTGTTCCCACTTTTCCTACCACAATCCTACCATACCTACTCCGCAGGCAACGGTATCCAATGGCAGGGCAAAATTCAGTGCAGCCTCCCCCTGTCAGGATAATAAACCCTGCTGTCCAAGCACCAGTGCCAAATTCACAGAGGTAGAGGTAGAATTGGCTGGAGAATAGGTATTTCTAGGACACTAATTGCAAATAGCTAATTCTCTATAAGGACTCCTACTAGAGGACAATCCAAGTTGAAACCTATAGCTTCTTTCTGAAGAATAATAATGATCTGTCTAGAGTTCTGATCTACTAGGTAAGTTCAGATCAAAAATGTGATCTTTTCCAATAACCTTTTTGAATGTTACATTTTTCTGCCACTCTGAGAGGAAGAAAATCCAAGAAGAAACTGGTAAGGAAATAATACTGATTATGTAAATGAAAAGTTTTGGTTTGTGTTTTGGTTTTTTTGTTTTGTTTTTTTTTTTTTTACTTAAAAAAAAAAAAAGTCTGGTCAACCAGACACAAAAACCCTACATATGAGAATATAGCAGTTTAACCTATATGCAGGAAAAGCCTGGTCTCTTGCAGCTTTATTATTAAAATACTGCAAAGAAGTTCTGGGTATACTACCAGTGAAACAAAGCTCGCATTAATAAACTTCTTGCTTTCAATTAATTTTGCTTGCAGTATTGGAAATTATTCTCTTCCCACTGATGAGCGACACTTTGAATGAGGATAAAGCACTTGCTTCTTTGGGCTTCAGTGTCAATTCCCCGCCACCCTTGTGAGATCAATGTGGTGGGTAGTGCAGCGAGGGAAGGCTTACTACATGTGTCAGTTTATTATTGGGAAACGTTAACCTTTGCCTTGTGTGAAAGTTGGACTGGGCCTTGGAAGGCACTTCCTTGATTAGCTGCATAGTGGGTGGTGGCCCCTCTGACAGACACTCTACTACGGGTTATCCGCTATATTTAGACACCTACATCAGCATCTAAGGCCTTGTTGTTTAGGTCACTGAATATAGAGGAAGGTATCTAGTGTTAAGTACCCACACTACTATGCCCTGTGTGCTGTCTGTACTGTTGCAGCATTTCCTGTGGCTTGCTATGTTCATCTCCCTCTTCTCCATCAAAGTCTTTATTTTAACTGGGAGTTTGGTCCAGAAGAGGAAAGAACACAAGCCACATACAAATGCACAGGGTGTCCTGTAATTCTTTATCATCTCTTCTCATGAAATCGTGAGCTTGAGAGGCATTTATGTAATTTTTTGTATTACAAATCTGTTTAAGATCAATGGAGTTAGATGACTGTAAAATTGCTGCAACAGAGAAAAGGTTCCAACCATTTATAATACCGGTTTATTAAGTCAAGGGGTAGTTTTTCATGCTTTCGTGGGAAATGTCTATACAAAAGCAGCAGTGAAAACATTATGAAAGGGGCAGTTTGTTCTATATGATAGAAGCATTTAGCAGAAATTTTGTTTACTCTGGAACTTTAATAATGGATATATTGCTTCTATTTACTGCCAAGACTCTTGTTAGACACATACAAATTATTTTTGAAAGTTTAAAAGTATACTGTGTGTTTAAGGAGTATGCTGTATTTTTTTAAATATGTATTAAATTCCAAGAGAATTCTTAGAGTACTGTGGTACTCTATAATTAGTTTTGATTGCCTATAAACTTGATAAATCTCCTGTAGTGCTGCTGGGTTAACTATGATCTTAGATTATGTAAGACATGTCAGAACATCATACTAAGGTTAGAAAAGAATGGAAAATGTCTCAGGAAAGGAGAGCAAAACTCAGTTTCTCTCATCCAGTTGTCTTGAATTATTTGGAGGTAAAAGAACTTCTTACTTTCACAGTAAAACTAGACTAGACTAGATATATCCTAGACTAGGTATCTGAAAATGGTTGAAGAGTTCCAGTTGCACAATAAAAAGTAACTGCAAGGTGCAGCTATCACTTTTGCTTAGAATAATGTGGTTTCTTTGATCATGGATGAGTATACAAGGCCATATAATGAACATGGGCCATGTGCAAAATATTGGCACTGAACTTTCTGGTTTTCCAGAATAGTTTAGCTGAAAATTTCCAAATTTACAAAAAGTGAGACACAACTGTTGAATTAGACCAGTGCTAAAGGCTGCCTTCTAGACAAGTCCACATGTTCAGCTGGCAAAACTGTATGATACAATTTTTTCTTGAAACTTCAACCTTTTCAGGAGACACTTTTGATTTTTTTCACTGTAGAACCAAAAAGCAAAGGCAAACAAACAAAGGTGAATTAAAAAATAAACTGTTTTAAAGTTTTTGAACTTGAGTGACACTATCAACTATACAACTTCTGTGAATATGGAATAATGATGTTCATATGGCAAAGCAAATCACACTTTGTCATGTGAGTGAAGAAAAAAAATTACTAAAAACTGTTCTCCTTTTAAAGATTTTAATTGGAACAGCTCCTTAAACCTGTCTTAAAAAACAGGCAGAACCACTTGGGCTCTCATTTATTCATGAACTGCCTTTTCATATCATCTTCCAGCATCTTTCATATCTGGATTCCAAACAAAAATATAAATAGTGTATATGTCTTGTAAAGATGTGCAGTTACAGAATAGCCTATAACAGGATCTCTTTGTGTCTACTTGTTGGATTATGTAGAGTTTGTCAACGTCATAGATATTCAACAAAATACAAGGGAAAATCAGACCTTGATGAAAATCAGGCATAGTAGGATAGACCACTAGTACGACTGAAAGCTGTAGCTTTTGTACTAGCTTTGTGAACAAAATCAGAGAAGCTGCGTGCACATATTTTGCCAGCACAGAAAAATGAGGGTGGATAACACTGAAGCCTGAAATAAGCAGGATTAAATGTAGCAACTGTTACCATTAAATATAACTTTAATCGTAGGGGTTGTTTTTTGCTTATGTAGCAGGTATGCTTTTATATATATTAATTTATGGACAGGCAAGATACTTCATGAAGTAATAAATTCAGGCTGTCCTAAGGAGAATATTAAAGTATGGCTGTTGGCTTCTGAGTGAAAAAAAAAATATATACTACAAATTGAACTTAAGTCCTGTTGTAATTACTCACCTGGGTAAACTAGCAAACTCTTACCCAAAACATAGTATACAGACTTCATAGATACAAAGTGTTTTCTACTGGGAATTCCAGTTCCTTTCCTCTGCCACGGAATGTCATCAGGGCAGCATCTGCAACACTTCCCATGGGCTGACCACAGGCATTCAAAGAAGTCATTCCAGGTGGAATAGGGAGCAGAGAAAGACTACTTGGATAAGCTAGGAAAAAATGGAAATTTCATCTAGGATGGCTCAGAGGAATGCAGCTTTACCAAGACATAGTTTATGTCAGAAAAGTAGGCTGTTAGACATGGGTAAAATAATTTCTCTGTGCTTTTGTGTTGGCTTGCATTTTCTGGTGGGCAGCCAAGAACTGATCAGACTTGTATCTCTTCATTTTTTCTTGTGATTGCAGTAGAGATGTTTGTTAAATAATGAATGCATAAGCCTATTTCATGTCCTACTGGCCAGAAATTACTCATGGACACCATAGGTATTATCTCCAAAACCTTTATTAGACATTTCAAAATTAGAAAAGAGTGAACGAAATTGTCCAGTCATCTAGTCATAAAAAGCCATAATCAAATTTACATTTGAAAGTAAAAATACACTAAAAATTTTTAAAAGTTATTGATACAGTGCTTAATAACATCAGACAAGATTGAAAAGAATTGTATGAACCGAATATTAGTAAACTGATTGTAGCTTTTGTTGTCAGTTTGAGTGATAAAATATCAGAGTAAGAAAAAATGACACCGAAGAGGAAACAATGATAGAAAGGGGTTTGAAAGTCAGCAACTGGTTCTAAGTGGGAATTAGATACTAAGTCTCAGCATGACTAGATAATTTTTAGCTCTCTATATATATCTTTTGAGTGGGAAGCTGGAATATAGAAACTGAATGCTGTTTTAATTTTTAAACTGGTTTAAACCAGATAGATTGTGGAAAGTAATTTGGAAGCAAAACCAAGGGGTTTTTTGCTTTTGAAGTATCACTGTTTGGGGACTTTCCCTTGGATACTGTTCAAAATTGTTTTATTGTGACGCATTTGTTGTTTGCTGATCTCTGGTAGATACCAGAGATGCTACTTTGGCTCACCCTTGCATTCTTGGATTAGAGCACTGAGACTTCTATATTCTGTCTTGTTAAATTTATGCTTATTATTTGGGTGGCTATATGAATGGTGCTATTGCTCACCCACATTGAAATGCAATTAAATACCCTTTCCTGGGGACCAGATTTATCAGGTAATGGGACTGCCCTTTCCCTGGGGTCACAGGTACTCCAAGCTCAGAAAGAATGAAACAATGTGCTGTGAAACAGTTCTGCCACAGCATTTTTACATTTAGAACATGGAAAATGAGTGTCTGTGTTAAAATTTCAGTGAGGAACCACATCGTCTACAAGTGTTTGCAAGGTCCATACATTAGTGACATCTGTGCATTAGGATACATCTGAAGCCAATTTACGCTGCCTTCCTGATAAAAATATTATTAACCTTTGTTTCTGAATATATTTAGTAAAATTTAAATTTCCAGTTTAGCTAAAACAAAAGTTTACAACATCATAAATAATAAAAGTCCAAAGACTTATCCTTTTCTTTTCCTAAAAAAGTAATTGAAGGAATATTATACTACAGAGAAGAGTCAAAGCAGGACAACAAGAAATAAAAAATAATCTACTTATATTGTGAAAGGCAATTGGATGTTCTTTAACTGGACAGTAAAGGAACTATTTTAAGTGCTTCCTTTTGCTTCAAACAGGTGGCTGAAGTATGGTATTTGGAGTTCATTTACAGTCAATTGATTCATGGCTAATAACTTAAAAATACTATACTTCCTGAAAGTGTTATATCCAAAATATGACAGTCAAGCCTGAAGCCTCAATTAAGTTGCATTATTTTTAAGGAACAAAAAGCACTGATATTTAACCAAACTGTATTTTCAAGATCTTGGTTGAAATTCATATGAGGAGTCCCAGGACAGAGTGGTTTTATTTGTTTATTTTTTGTAATAATGGGTTTATTTATTATCTCCAGTGTGCATTGAAAAAAATATTAAAATTTTGCTGCAATAATGTTGGTATTTAGATTAGGAGCTACAGTGCATTTGCCTTCACTCTGTCTTTTTGGTTTTTGGGGTTTTTTTAATTTAATTTCGGTCATCCTTCTATTCTCAATCTCATATCCACTTTTCATGGAAATTTAAATGACTTTGCAAATACAGCTGATTTAATTCTCATAACATTTCTGCTAAGTATATTCCCCTCTATAGGAAATAGAGATGTAGATAAACTGGGTATAATCTTGAGCAAAACTACTTACAGCTTGAGGTATTGCTGCGGTAGAACTCTTTGTGAAATCTTGGCTGCACTGGAGTCAGCAGTATAACTCCTGTTGAGTCCAGCAGAATAAGACCTAGTGTCCCAGTTCACAGTTCTGTCCCATTTAGTAATTAACTGGAATAAGCATTGTATCTATTAAAAAAAAAAAAAAAAAAAAAAGTTTAATTAGTATCTTTCCATGTCTTCTCATCTTGCAATATTGGAGAATAAGAGCTTGTTTGCACTCAGATTACCCTTCTGCTCAGTGCTGCAATTTCAACAGTGAAAACACGCTAATGTATTTTATGGGTCTGACCAATGCATCAACTTTAGGATTCTTATATCACTGTAGCTGAAAAAAAGGGAGGTAAGGGAGAAACCTTTATTTGAACAATCTTTAGGGATACTTTGCGAAGTTGACAAGTAAAGTTCTGAAAATCCTTACAAGGTTTGAAGGTTTATACATATTCTTATGCAGAGAAGTGTTTTTTTCCCTTCCATGAAAGGCCATCACTAGGAATATTTGGCTATATCCTGCAATTAGGGGAAAAAAATTATTTAAGTATTCTCACAAGAATTAAGATAAATATTCTATCTTTCAAAATATGTGGATTTTCCTAATATTTCACTCAAAAGCAGTGTGTGTGTATATATATATATATATATATATATATATATATGGTTTTTTCTCTTTTTTTTTTTTTCTTAAAGCCTCTGCCTCCTTGTCATGACTCTAAGGAATCTATGCAGGTGTACAAACAGCACTGCAAAATAGCAGAAGAGTACCATGAGGTCAAGAAAGAAATTGCTCTGCTGGAAGAAAGAAAGTGAGTAACTTTCCCATAGTATTTACTGTTGTATAGTCTCTTTGTAAAATTCTGTTTTAAACATGAGGTTTTCACATGATATTTTCTGACCTTATACCTCTTCCTGATGGTCACAGTACAGCACAACAGCTAGGCCTTTGGTCCATAGGATCAGCTGAGGCCACTAACAACACAGAATTGTCATAGTTCTGCGCCCTCAGTTATATAGATGTCCCTTAAAACCTTCATTGACAGCCTCCAGGTCACATAACAATCTAGTTCAGCTCGTGAGAGTCCCCTTTTTAGTTTTAGGGAAATTTTTTTCAATTTAACTTTACACATTTTAATGAAGAACATAGTGGATCCTCAGTTATGTTTAGAGTACTTGACAGTATTAGTAAACATTTCTCCGTGAGGTGCATTGTCTCTATGAACATTGACATTTCAGGTGTTCATATACAAAGCGCATACGCTGGAGACTAATTTTCTTGTCTATGGCCTGTACTCATACTCCTGTCATCTTCACGTGACTATTAAATGGCAAAGTGCACTCTGTGTCTCTTGGTCCCTTTCCACAAGAAACCTTAAAAAGAAATTCAAAGAGAGGGAAGAGGGTGAGCAGTGAAAGTTTTATACAGACAATCAACCCCAAGGAATAACAGTTATGCTAAGTAAAATTTCTCTTTCAAATACTTTTGATTTTCACTGAAGGTGACTTCAAGCAGTGTTGCCTTCCTCAGGGGGTTACCTCAGTGTTGATCTTTGAGACTTCTTGTGAAAGTGAAGACCACACCATCATTCTTCCAAATGCTGCTTGAACAGAAACATTTTTAATATAGGAACAGGGGTTGAAAGAGCTCTGTTGGAGAGTGGGCTTTGAGTAGAAGGTGGACAACTGTATCTGTTTCAGAAAAATCTTCACACAGCTGACCATGTATTTTAGCCAAGTTTGCATCCATGGGAGTCTTCAGCTGCAGAAGCAGTCTGATGGGAGGGAAACTGGTGAAATCCTGTAGTCTTACAAGTAAGATAGCCAAAGATCTCCTTGAGTCCAGACTATGCAGGGTAAGGAATTGAGACTTGTCTGATGTTGATGGCTATAGGCACAATATAGTTGTGCTAAAGTGTCAGAACTAGTTGAGGCTTCACACTACAAATCCCCTTCCACCATAGGACCTGCATGGCTCTCAGTTGCTGACAGACTGGCACAAAAGCTAAAAAAAAAAAAGTAAAAATAACCAGAAAATATTAACGCTACATTGTCCCAGTGTTTGCATTTGATTCATCATTAAACTTGGCCAATCAAAAGTAATCAGTGTTTTTAAAAAGATGTAGAGACGATAATTCAAGTAATTTTGCAATGATTTATCAAATTTGATTGTCTATTATAAACTGCTTACATGTGTATTTAGCCACCAAGTGAATTCAGTGGAAACCATGTGTGTTTGTCTTCTCTGAAAATACAGATGGAATAAAATATGAAATGGTTAGATGTATAAACTAAAAAAGTACCCTTAGATCATTTGGTTTTTAGAGTCTACTAATATAAATACATTATTATTACTGACACACCCCTGAATTAGTTATGTACATTTATGAAGTAAGCCTGGAGCCCTTGAAAACTAGACTCACATATGTATTTCTGCATTTACTAGAATGACAAAAAATGCTGTTTGAATCATTTTTGTTTATCTATGGAATCTGTGGTACTAGCTAAATTAGAAATATTTTGCTCCTTGGGAATAGCAAATACATGCACAGAATTGTTTACCTGAGCTCAAAACTATCCTAATCAACCTCGGAGTCCAGAAGTCAGCCTCTCAGCAGTGGTAATCCTGGATGAATTAAGGGCTTCAGGCTGGCATTTTCCTTCATTCCACCAGCGGATGTCAACAGTGGAACAATGCGAGGAAGCTTCTACCACTGCTACCTTTGCTGAACCTGTTCTGTGGACAGAATGTTTTATGCCCCAGGAAACATATATTAAAACAAGAGTGTCTGAATAAGGCAGCAAATAGAACTATATTATTGTAGACTCTTATGAACATTCTAATTACATATCTGTGGTCTAGATACTCACATGCTGAATAGCTGTGAAGTACCTAAACAGGCAAATGTCAGTGCAGCACCCTTCACCACCTTCCAGATCTTTTAATCTGAAGAAGTGGTCCTACAAGTACTGGGATTGAAGATGCTTAATTTCTTACAGGTTGGTGCACTGTGGTAATTTGATTTTGAAGTTTAAAAAGTTGCAAATACCAGCTGAAGCTTTTTTCCTCAAGATGGGAACTATTTCTGACTCCTCCCTCCAGGTAGATTCGCAATTTTGTAGTATTTTGGAGGAGGTCTTACAATAACGTCTTTCCCCTTTCGGATGTCTTTCCTTTCTGTAGCAGTCTGTTTCTCTCAAATCTTCCAGAAACTAATTGGGACTTCTTCACTGCCTGAATTTTGGTTGAAATTGGAAGGTGTATTAAGAAAGTTATTAGGACACATATACATTTACACACATGTAAGCATACACAACCAGCACATTAACCTTGATTTTTATATAAAACTAGGCAGAAAGAGAGCATAAGTATGGAGGTGAAGGAGAAAGCAAGAAGTAGAAAAGAGTTTGGGTCTAGTGATCACTGATCTATATCTAAAAATGTTCTCAACAGTTACAGTTTGAAAGTTAAAGGAAGTCTATGGGATAGCGCATGCTTTATGAAGAGTGGGTTACAATATCTGGGGTGTCATGCATGTTGAATATTCCATTCTCAGAAGGGAAAGATGCTTTCATTTTTCTAAAAAGTCTGATGAGATGCACAGCTTTTAGCCTTAAAAGCGTTTATAATCAAATTGAAAAGGTGGACTTTGCAGCTTTCTGAAATTTGCTCCTGTTGCAAGTATCTATCTTCTACATTTGAATTTGAATGTATGGAAGTAGAGATTCACAATTGTCTAATACATCTGCTATCTATTGTCTATTTCTTTTAAATATTATTTTGATAAAATGAACAAAGATAGAGTTTCACCCCTTGCAGTGGGAACAAACAATTCTTGCAGTGTTCTTTAGTGCACATTTTTACCAAAGGCAACCAGAAGTGCTGTTGGATGGTGCCCTGCCAGTTCTCCAAACTTCCTCTCCACAGACCAACTCAGCTGTGGAATTAAAATGTCAAGTCCCACCTGGCAGTGTCTGCACCTGTGGTGTCTGCTGGTAGTACATTGTGCACACAATACTGAAGACAATGATTGTCAGGAAAAGAGCAGAAAATGGCTTGAGCAAATATTTTTGAAGGAAGGCTAGAAGGAAGAAACAACGTTAATCAATACAGGTATTGGAGCTTTTTAGTAAAACAAAAAATGGGATAGCATTCATTCTACTTTAAACACTTTTTGTTCCAACCACCAAAGTTCAGTGTAACCTTTTATATATGAGATAATACATGCAGGTATATTTCTAAACGAAGTATCTTTAAGAAATAGGAAGCTGATTAACATTGTTTTAAAATAGTCAAAAACATTTACTGTTTTGCAGCTTTTCAAATGCTTTTAATTCTGCTTAGCTTGACTTGTCTCTCACTGTAGTGTGTGGATCGAGTATGGCTGATGCATAGAAAAGCAATGGTGTGAAGTGCCAAGGGTTGCTTCTCCTCCAGGCAAGAACAAAGCTTATTTGCTCCTTTCTCTTGTATGCAGTGTAGATGGCAAGAGAATGTACTAAGCTGGGAGTGGAAGAAAAGACAACTATTTCACAGGAAAAAGGGAAATATGAGAGAGAAAGGGAGGTTGCAGGTTCAAAAAAATTAAAATCAAAGGATAAAGCAATAAGAAGGGGAAAAGATGTGACTCAGGGAAAAAAAAGTAAAGGAAGCAAGAAAGTGAAAGAATTTAAAAGAACATTGGGTAGATTTTTTTTTTTTTTTCTAGCATAAATCATCATAGCTTTGTTTGCTGTCTTCACTCAAACTCTTCCCATTTATGCCAGCAATATGTAGTACAAGGGACAAAATCACTCTGGAATGGGAGACATGATCAAAAAGAAAGAAAAGGGTGTGGAAGTGAGAACACACCACATTTAGGTCACAGAATGTAATTTAATTTATGTTCCAGAAACACACATGTATTTCCATAACAGATGTTTTTGAGTATCTAAGTTTGGGTGAAAGGGATGGGATGGCTGGTTATTTTGAGCACTTGTTATATTGCTATTACTAGATAATGACCCTGGATTATGTAGTTAAATATTAGAGTTGCCATGGTTGCTAGATATATCTTATATTCTTAGCACTGGCTGGTTTTCTCATTTTTCCTCCCCCAGACAATTCTAATATAACTCTCCAGAAAGTATCATTTGATCACCACCTGATTTAGGATCACTCCTTTCTTTGTCATGAATATGATTTCTTTTCCTTCTTTTACACACATTACAGTAGACATACAGTGGAAATGTTTGCTTAATTTTGTGGGATCCTTCCATATGCTTTAGCATCCTCTCATGACCATAGGACTGTTTCTAAGGTCTGAAGTCCAGATGGTTTATTTCTCCAGGTATACAATTTCTGGAGTGTCTTTCCCAACACTGTTGAGACCAGTAGTCTTCAGACTTTCAGGTACTGCAGAAAAATGTTGGTGTAAACCATAAAGGCAACCTTTTATCTTGATAATTTTTCCATTCTAGACCTGATTTTTCCTCATCTCACATGTATACAAAATACATGTTTCTTGCCAAATAGTGGAAATTACAGCTTTTCTAATACAAAGAGAGCCTCAACTTGCCCTGTTGCAGTGATGAATACTTACTGAGCTTTTATGTGCTGGCATCTGAGACATATTTCATTTACATTAAAACAGGCTGTCTCATTGTTTTAAACATTAATTTCTAGTCTTCAAACACACAAGGGCAGTTTCCTCAGACAGCAATTACCTTACCACATCTCATGATTCCTCCTGATGTGAAAGCCATGTCAAATATAGGAAGAGTAAATGACCTTATGACCACCAGAACACACAGACACATGTTATCTGGGAAGAAATGTGTTGTACCACAGATGCATGGTCCTGTTCACAACAGGTGAAAGACAAGCCTGCCTGTTTGCACTGTGGAAGCTGTTTTCCTTGACTCTAGTCCATCTCCAAATACATTTGCCTCCAGATAGATTTATCTGCTTTGTCTGTCACTTTTCTTGGTACTTACTAATTGTGAATATTGCTGTAAAGGGACTCTGTTGTCTGTCATTAAGGCCAGGACAAGAGAAATAATTTCTGTAATACTATGCTGGGTTTTTCTCCTCCTCTGATATGGCTTGTGGTGTCTTGGTTTATGATGCAAATCACACTCATCTTCCCACCCAAACCCCTCCCCAAAAAAGAACAATTAAAGTGTACATTACAGCTTGTCTTCAAGTACCTCAGCACCATTTTAGAAAATACCTTATCAATGCTGTTAATATTTAAACTCAGGGTAACCATTAACAGAAAATACAGATTACACAGTGTTAGATCTATTTATTAAGCATCCATAACAAAGGCTAGATGGTGCAAGAGCTTAGTATGGTGTTCTTTAACCTCTGGAAGCTAAGTTCAAATCCTGGATTAGATCAGAAGCAAATGTTAGTTACTGTCCTCATCCTTTTGTGAGCTTCGTAAACCACACCATTCATAACATTTAGCAATTCCCTGGTACTCTAATTTTAGATCTCTGTGGCAGGCTTGCAGTATTTGCCTGAAACATCACCCTACCCTGTAAACAGGTGTTGATCCTGATGGGAAGGGCATAAGTAGTTTCTGCTGACTCAGAAGTGGGCAATTTTACTACCTCAGTGCAAGGAAACTGCTTTCTGCAAGGGAGGTCCTAGAGTGTGGACTACATCAATGAGTATATTTTATTTCTAATGCATTTTTATTTTGTTTAATAGCAAAGCTAAATCCCAGGGTGGGGGGAAACTTATCTGTCCTGCTTGAGTATTACTGGAGAACAGCATGAAAGTCATGCCTGTACATAGCCTCATCTTATCAAATCAGGACTGACATTCATTGATAGAGCTGTCTGAGTTTGCACACTGTCTGTTCTGTCTGTGCCACTCCTGGCTCAAGTCCAAATAAGGTGCTTAGTACCATTCTTTTACATGTACTATAGAAGTCCCCATGGAAAAGGTTTATCTGCTTTTAAGATGCTGATTACTTACTAGTGTGTTCACAGCATCTCCCTTTGAGAACCTTGTAAGTGTAAGAAAAATAAGGAAGAATGATTCTGATTTAATTTGTTAGGAACACTTCTGAGTCAACAGTCTGTAATTTGAGAGATCTTAATTTAATCCTTCAATCCAACATTGCACCAGTAGAATAATTGCAAAGAAATATTGCTGAAGCTCTCTTCTAGTCCTAAGAGACAAAAATCTTAAAGAGAAAGCCTTAAGAGACTGAAGTGGTTGAAGCTGCTGGACTTGTAAAATCTCATTGTCCCTAAATGAATTTCTCACTCTCCAAAGCATAGATGCAATTACTCCTTTGTTGCCTACAGTCCCATTAATAGGAGCTGGAATATCAAACTGCCTAGCAAGATCAGTTCATCTTGTCCAGTTTGAAAACTGGTTAATCTAGCGTGGCCTAAGCAAGAGGAATTTATCTGTTAATGTCTTGCTGCTTTTGAAACTGTTTTAACTATACTGTGCCAAATGTTAATAGAATTCTGATGAACAACAATACGCTCTTGATATTTTCTCTTGAAGACCTGATTGAATAGACTTTTCACCTGGTGAAAGGCAAGAGAAGAGGCTTTCCTGCAGCATAGCTGTTGTGCATTGCCTCAGTGGTATAAAACAAAGCAAATATATTTAGCTATGGGAGGGTTTCTATATATTGCAACTTTTGGATGATTTAGAATTGCTGTAATGGCTGCTAAAATCCTCCCTTTTTTTTTTTTTTTTTTGGTATGGGAAAGACAGTTGGGAGAAATGAGTCTCTCACCAGGGTTGTCTTCAACTTGTATCTCTTTGAACTGCAGTAACTGTGACTGTAAACAGCCAGATAAACCATGGGTGAACTGTGCTATCACTGAAAACTGTAGTAAAGACAGAAGAAGATCAAACTGATCCTAAAACAAGGCCAGATAGAAGTGTTTTTCAAAACCTAGGTGCTTACAGTTTTGCTGCTGTAAGTGGTACTTTTGCAGCTATAAGTAACGTTAGTGATCAGCCAATGCTGAAATGTTACCGTTTCATGAATACTCTGACCTGTGGTGATATTACTGATCTGTAGGAATTTCCTGTCTGAAAGTACTGGTCTAGCTTGACAAGAGGGCTCCTTTTAAAGACTGCAAAAGCTATCCATTTTGAAGGCATTACATCTTCCCACTGATGATCTACAAGAATTATTTTGACATGACTGAGAAATAAAGTCACAGGGCTATGAACAGTTAAAGATTAACTAATCTCTGAGATAGAATGATCAAAAGAACTAAGAACCTTTTAGAAGAGACTTCCTGTAGCAGCAGTGAATAAATGATTTGACTTAAAGGAGAAAAAAAGCAGAGGCCAGGCTACCCTGCTGCATAACTAAGTGGAGAACGATTAGATACCCTGTGAGTTACTCATGCCTTCAGTGTGTTTTGTTTTAAAACTTCTTTTATCTTAACTTGTGCTGAGGTAATTTCTGTTGATACTATATGGAGACTCCAGCCCCTGGCCAGCTCTGGGAATACAGGGTGCTGTGACTCCATCCAGAAAGAAGCAACAGCTCAAATCCTCCTGTTTCTGCTCTTAAAAAGACCAGAAGGGGCCAAGTTTGCAGCTCAATCACTCTTTCTCAGCAATAGGGCTAAAGTCTGAGTATAAACACATTATAGAAACAATTTATATATAGTTCGGATTCATGTACTTAATGTTTACTAGAACCATTTTTCTTTGTAGTAGAGAAAAGGAAACCAGGCGTATTTCACAGAATTTACTGATAAAACCCCTGTGCTCTCTTTCATATATGTTTGCTATTGAGAGAAAAATAAATTGTTATTCTTCAGGCAAAATATTAGCATGCAGTCTCCAGGAACTTGATTCTCCCCCATGAACTGCTTGTTCAATTCTTACTCAAGTTAGACATATTTGAAGGTCCTCAGCATTTTGCAGGTTTGGTCACTGAACAGCAAACCTATCAGAGATTTTGTCAGCTTCAGCTTTTAAAGGGAAAAGAAGGACTCTTACAAATTAATTGTCTAGGTCTTTGTTTCACAAGAGCTCAAGCAATACCATGTTAACAACCTATAGTCCGGCTTTAACCTAACACACAACAACAAATTCTCGCATATTGCTATTTTTAATCTTTGATTTTTATTTTTTTTTCCATAATCATCAGAAAGGAGCTGATTGCGAGGCTGGAACAAGTGGAAAAAGAAAGCATGGATGCTGCTCAGCTGGCTAAGGAGTATGCAGAACTGACAGAGGAGAACCGAACACTGAAGCTGGCCCAGACGCAGTGTGTAGAGCAACTGGAAAAGCTCAGAATACAGTACCAAAAAAGACAGGGGTCCTCATAACTCTCAACTAGCTTATGTGAGGCAGTTAATACAGGATTGGTCCTGTGCTGGAAAGAGATTTTAAAATAAAGGTCTGTTCAATATGTTATAATACTTTGCTACAGATACACAGTATGTAGAAGTCTATATTTGATTTAATGCTTGCCAGCCAGTAGCTTAATATAATGGATATTTCATCCATTATATAATGGGTATTTTATTTCAAGTAACATAATTGAAGTTAATCTATCCCCATTATATGTTCTAGTAGATCAGATTTCTTTTCTAAACATATTTCTTCCAATTTAAGAAGATATGGACACACTAGAAAATGATATAAATAGTCTCTGTGTTGGGAATTTGGACCATACTAAGGCATACAGCAGGGACAATATTAATATATGGAATACATGTATGTTAATTTTAGTTTGGTGAAGATTTTTTAAATTATTTTTGTCCTGCCTAAAGTGTTTGGAAGTTATCTTAAAACAGATCTTTTCACTGATAAAAACTATACTTCATTATCCCATGTCAAATTTACATTGTATAAAACCTGAGAAGCTGCATATCAAAAATTGAAGTAACATAATTATTTTTTTATCAAACGAGTGTACTGCCAGTAATAATTTGCAAGTTACGAAATTAAAAAGAAACAGGTGAGATCAAACTTTCTTTCCTCAAGTGTAAAGATAGCTTGAGAGTCTTTTTATGGTACTTTTCGGCATGCAAGAAATGAAAAAGTAATACATTAATACTACTAGCATAGTTTGAACTGAGAATATGTCAGTAAAAGTACTGTGAGAGTATTTTGTTCTTATTTTCTGGTCTGTTTTGAAACATAAGTGGCCGTAAGAAGGGACAGGAGTTCCGTCATAGACAAATAACACGGAAGCAAAATGTAAGTTTTACTTGTTCTATTTATCCCTGTATTTTCCTAGATCAATCGAAAATTCTTTGTTATACTTCCATTTCTATTCATACAGTATTTTTTTCATTAAAAGCAGATATAGAAAAGCCATTTTATGTTTTGAATGTTCTTAAATCACCCTGTATTTTTAACTGCTTGACAGATGCAGCTTGTTACATCTTCATGAGGTTGGAATTCAACCTGATGTGTCATTAGTACTGAAATGTATCTTAGCAATCAAAAACTATGAACTTAAGATTTCCGCCAGAACCTTAGCTTTGATTATTGTCACTAAACTATTATAAAAATGGGGCTTTGTGTTAATCAGAACAATTACCAGGGAAATCTTTTGGCACCAAAATTCCCCAGTAATTCTGGCAGCAAAGGAGACAAAAAAATACAAGCTGCCCTTTATTTCTCTGTGCTAAATACCTACAGTATTCCCTGCAGCACAGGCATGAAAACAGGTTCCGTGTTACACCAAGCACCTGACATTGCGGTAGGAGAGTACGAGAAGGTGGCAGGAGAGGACAGCCTTGTCTCCACTTCTCCTCCTGAGCTGCCAGGTCAGGGGCAGTGTACATGCCGAGCACTGCTTACTCCCTTACCCTGGTCAGTGCGGAAACACAAAGGAAAATCTCCACTCTGAGACACGTGCTTTCTGCTGAGATGCTCCAGTACAACACCCTGTTTATTCATCTTTCATTGTTATCTGAGGGTCCAATTTTCATTAAATCTTGTGAAAATCGAAGAGAAAAAAAGCATAATGAATAAAGACCACTTCAGATGTGAAGCCTGGGAGTGCTGGAAAAGCCTTGTCTGAGTTCTGTGCTGATGGGAAACATACCCTGTACAGACTTCAGGGCTTTCCTTTGAACACAGCACACTTCAGAATCTAAGATGTATTATTTTTATTTGTATTTATGTGTTTTGAACAAGAGGATTCTCATTTTCAAAATTAATTTGTCATTTTAGTCAGAAATTTTTCCATCTATCTTTGAAAATATCAGCCAGTCTGGTGATTTAATTGAATTCCTTGGAAACTATACAAAGTACATACAATTATTTCATTAACAGACTAGCTTTGGATGCATATGAATCAGACAGCAGAACTTTACTTACAGATAACTGTGTTCACCTTGAAATTTTCTATTTAAGTGTAGCCATTATGCTTTAGATGTCAGAACAATAACAGATCATACTCTCAGAGTAAAAACAGAGGGAGAGACACAGTTACATGAAGAAGGAAATCTGGGCCTCATTTGTGACACACAACAATTTGAGAGTAACCAGGGAACATGGTTTTTCTAACCTATAGATACTAACCGTTATGGAAGTCTTCAGGAAACAGTCTTACAGGTGTACAGACATCAAATTTGTAGTGTGCTACAGCTACCAGCCTGGATAAATATGGAACTCTTAAAACATCCCAAACTAGTTGATGCCAGAGATTTGTATTTAATCTGGACTGTGACTATTTGCAACCAAATTTTCCTACTGCTTTTAGTTGTGATGAATGTAAAAAATAACTACCTTGTATCAATATATTTGCCTGCCAGCATGGATGCTCGTGTGCCTGAGAATAGTGACTCAGAGAAACTGCATCACAACCCAAACGAATAAAAAAAAAAAAAAAAAAAAAAAAAAAGAAAAAAAAAAGCAAAAATAGCAGAGGAAATGGGATTCAGATACAGGAGGGAAGATGAATGGAATTTTCCAAAAGTATTCATAGGCAAGTGAAATTAAAATGCAGAAAAGACAACCTAGAAAACAATTCAAGTGTTGGAAAGAGTAAAAATGGCTAGAACAGCCTTCTGAGAAGTAACTGCTGTATCTATCATCCATCTCTTGATTTTTTTAATCAAAAGCATAATAATGATCAACATTTTCATATTCAATAAATCTCCAGTTTTGAGATGCTGAACTTTTCTCTAGATATGACTTCAAACCTGCTGACTCAACAGCTGAAATCAAGCTTTTTAAGAAAATGTTTGTTTGACATATTTATGCTGTATTTTCCAAATAGACAATATGATTTGTGTCCTGTTATTTAAGGAGAAACCTTAAACTGCGCTGCGAGCTAGGTCCATTGTAAGTATAGCATTGTAAAAAAAGAGTTTTATACAATTATTTCAAAGATGTTTTTACATTGCGTTTCACCCAAGAACTCAGAAGACAATTTCAGCTTTTGAATTCAATTGCCAATGAATCATTCAATTTTCTAACTTCTGACTACAGCCTGTGATAGCTGCAGCTGTATTCAGCAAAACAACAGCGCAGTCTGAGGCGCTTGCTGGCAATTCACCAGCTGTCAGAAGGCAAGGAAAGACATGTGAAAGGCTCAGATGACAGAAGGAGTTGCTAAATGCATGCAGCTACATAGATACAGTCTGTTACAGAGATAAAGTGTATTTCTTCCTGTTATCCAAGTTATTCAGGTTAGCAAAAGTAAGCATGCCACTATGATGACAAATGCATTTGCTTCAGACCACTTAAGAAAAGAGTGAAGTACATGGGTTTAAAAAAACAAGACCTGTGCTTTCCATTTCCTATTATTACTAACTTCCTTCCAGCGTAACAAATGCTGAACAAGCTCAATTTCAGTATTCCAGTTAACAAGGATATGACTCATGCAGTCCTGAAACAGCCAGAGGCTAGGGTGATTTTACACTTGAAAAGTCTGGAAGATAAGGACCTGCAGGTTTGGGTTTGGCAGCTTTTCCTTAATGTTTCCCTTTCCAGGATTATCTTTATTCTGGCTGTTTTTGTGAATTAATGATTTTGGAAGTGTGTCACCTTCTCCCAGAGGTTTTATTGCCATCTAGACCTTTGTGAGCATTACACATCATTCATAGTGGGTACAAATATGGATGGGTACAACACGAAGTCTCTCAGCCTTCCGTTGGGCTGTGTGGTTGGGGAGCTCTGGCACATGTCCATTTGCTGCTCAAACTCCGATCACAAACCAGCTTGCAGAAACGAGCTAGTCACAATCTTAGTCATGGAGTCACTTGGTGGTTTTTCCTACATAAAATTCTTTGTTTGTTCAACACACAAGATGGAAGTGTCTAGAGGAGCAGGGGAGACTGTTGTCTGGAGGGCCATTGCCTCTCTTCTCGTGGAGGGTGCAAGATGTGCAATGACTGAAAAAGAGACTTGCAGGGAAAAGAAGTTTGGTCCAGGCAGGGATGTAGCAGGAGGAGCACTGGCTCTGGCCAGCAGGAGCATGAGGAGAGTTGACAAAACCTGGGTGCTAGCATGTCTTTTCTCTGCCATTCATACTTTCACAGACATACAATGCACACTCACAGCCCTGAGGGTCTTCTCCCTCTTGTTAGAGTGGCCTGGCATGTATATGCATGGATAATATGGTGATGAACATCCTTGGAAAAACTGTGATTAAACTATTAAATGTCTTCATGACAGGCCTGGAAGGTGTGGAGCAATGAAGACCTAGGGCTATTACTGAACAATTGCTGGAAAGATAGGCACCATTGACCATCCCGCTGGGCTTCTCTGGGACAAGACCAGACATTGTGACTGCACAACTGTACCACAGTGCACTTTAAGGAGGGAGGGAGGGAGGGTAGCAAGGCAGAGTTGGATGGGCATCCTTGACCTTACCCTTTCCTCCACTGAGTCCTTTGGTTTTGCAATGTTAAACTGGGAGGTACTGAGATGGTCCTTCAGATGCACACCAAAACTGTGTAGCTGACATTTTAAATTCAAAGTAGTTAATAACTTTATAAAAAAGAAAAAAATCTACCTTGCTTGGGACAGTGCCCATCAGCTCTAGATTCTTCAGTGCTCCTTACAAGGAATGTCATGCATTACTCATACCTGTATGAATGAAAGATGACAATCATTCACAAATTATCGTTAACTTCGACCCGGGCTTTCTAGACTGCACAGGCTGATGGTTTACACTGTAGAAAGCACAAGAAATAGCGTATGAGTCACTCAGCTTTTCTACACACCAATCATCAGTTCCCCCTTCTAAACCAGTTCCTTTAATCCGCCCCCTGGCCACAACCCATGCATCTGTGCCCCCTACTGAGTACAGTCTTGAGTTCAGATCCAGTTGACTGGTGATCTCATGATGTGGTCTGATGATCACCGTGTGCTTGAGACGGTTTCCAAATGTTACAGTTGTATGATGTTCTGTGATTCGGTGCTGGTATACGTCAGCAAGGCACTCTGCCAACCTGCAGGTCCTGGCTGTGAGATACGCTTGCTTTCTTTGAACTGATTAGGAAAATATGAGAGCAGCTGGTCTGTGGATTCAGTTATTTGTCTGAATTTTGTATTAAATTTTAATACAGAAATTAGGGAAATGAAATGAGGATGTGTGTGCTGATGTAACAAATGTGTGGCCAGATGACAGACTATGCCTTGGGTGCTCTGAATGAGTAAAGTGATATGAGAACTGTAAGTGATGGAAAGGAAGTAGTTACAGCTAGGAAGAGGAACTGGTGAGTGAGCTGTGTGCCTTAACTGCTTTCTTGCTTGCTTTTTATGGCTTGCACAGTGGGATGTGTAGACTGTTGTCTTTAGCTCAACATTAAAAAGCTTTTGTTTAGATGTTTCCCAAGGCTTTTCTGCCTAGTCTACATAAACATTTTATGCTGAAATATTTAACTTGTTAAGGTTATGTTTTTGTCTAATATGTCTAGTATCAACAGAGCTATACTGTGATAAAGACGCTCACAGCATTGCAGATGGTTCTTCTATAGAAAGAGGAGTACAAGGAGTAAGGAGTACTGATATCTCTGATATATCAGTGAATCATACAATATCTTGAATTGGAAGGGACCTATAAGGATCATTGAGCCCACTACTATGCCAACTGCTGTATTTGCATTAAAGATAAATAAATTACAGCCTTGATAAATAGCCTATGTATAGTAAAAACTACACTGAAGCTAGGATGCTTTAATATTGAAATAAATGCATCCTCACTAACTGGCTTTTGCTGCTTTAATTGCACAAATAGAGTTTAGTGCTTTTATTAACTAGATCCCCATTTACCCGCATGAGGGGACAGTGATGTGATGTTCTGTGATCAAAAAATTTCCACCTCTGTCTTGTGACTTTCCTACAAG